GCTGCATCCCGGGGAGAGAGGAACAGCCTTGAGTCGCCCATCCCAGGTAATGTGTGCCCTGCGAGTGCACGGCTTGGAATGCTTGGCGACAGGTACCGGGTAAGGTCGGCAGTGCTCCGGTTCGGGTTCAGCTTCAGCGTAGCTATTTTTAGTCTACTGCTGTTCATATTGCAGAATACTCGGGTATTTTATATTCATTTTATACCCCATACCTCTAAGGTATGGAGTATAAGATAAATAAGTGTCAGAAACAAACTTCCTACCGAAAGCAAGCTTGCTTTTGCTGGTTAAACAGTGCTTTTGTATTCTGATTCAGATGATTACTAAAAACCCTACTTCATCCCGCTCCCATAAATGCATATCCATAGTCCCAGAGATCACGTGAGTTGCAAGTAAGCAATAGTTTAGGGGGTTTTTAAAAATTATAATTACAAATTTTACTGCAATAGGCTGAGAGTGGCATTGTAGGTAAGTTCTGTCAATTTCCTGGATGTATCACCGTATGAAATCATCCTGTGTATCTCTGTATGTGTCTGTTGCTTAGAAAACTTTTGAACCTGTTTTCTAATTTCAGCCGGATTTAGGAGATGAAAATGTCTGTCTGGAAACTAATAGATGGGGAGAGGAGGGAATCTGCACTTTCTTTCAAGAAAAAGAGGTGTAGATTACTCCTTTATTACTCTTTCTAGAAGTAGGTGGCTGGGCAGTGGGTATATGCAGAATTCTTCACTAACCATTACATGAACAAGAAAGAGGAGGAAGATTGTCTGATGTGGGAAGTGGAAAAGAGCTCTGGATATTGTCATGGATGGAGAAAATTCAGAGGATTAAAGTTATTAGCTTGGTTTCTTACAGCTTTGCACCTATTTTTTTTGAAATATCCCTTCTGTAGCAGGTTTGTGAATTTTATTTGTTTGGACTTGTTTTAAACAAATGGTTCCCAACTGTCCCTTTGTACGGATTTCTCTATAAACCATAGCCTGCAGATCTTGAGGTACATCTGTGCTCTCTCCAGTCCTGCTTCTTTAAAGCAGCTTTTTCCCACATTTGAAAACTGCATATGTTAAGTCCTCCTCTGTAACAGTAGTCTCAGTCTTCAAACAGATCTGTTTTACAGGGTAAAAATGAACGTAGGAGTTGCCCACAGCGAGGTGAATCCCAACACTCGGGTGATGAACAGCCGTGGAATGTGGCTGACATACGCGCTGGGAGTCGGCATGCTGCACATTGTCCTGCTCAGCATTCCCTTCTTTAGTGTCCCTGTCGCCTGGACTTTAACTAATGTCATTCACAACCTGGTGAGTACCCTCTCTTGGAACAGGGTTTGAGTAGTGGTTGTTCATAAATACTTATTTTCAGTAGCCAGGGGAGAGGAAAGTAGCCAGTCTGTATGGACAGTGAAATCCTGCTGTCCAGAGCACTACCTCTCCTTGGCCTATCCACAAAGGACTGGCTGTTTTGGGGAGGAGGAGTGATACACAACCACTTTCAGTTTATGCATGAAAGACATGAAATATTCTTTATGTAGTTATGTATTCTTTTAAATGGCATTTAATTATGCTGAAAGGTTGCAGACAGAAAATCATCATGCCAACCAACTTTCACAGTGTTCTGTATATTATTAGACAGCTGTGCTGAATCCACAAACTACCACATTTTTAATACTTGGACACTTTCTGCTAATTTTCCACGTACATCTGTTTAATTTTAATGTTTAATTTTAGCAGCCTACCTATTTTCTTTAAGAGAAATGCTTCTATTCTATTTCTTCTAGTTTTGCTTTCTGGCCAGGCTGCATAACTCAGAATGACTTCAGCATGCAATGTTGTCACCATACAGGACATTAGAGTAATCTCTCTTGAAAGCAGTGAGAAAAACTAAACTACTTTGACCCCAGCCCTGAAACCATTTGTTATTCAGAGGGTTGTGGCTTGCATGATGACTTTTGTATGCAAAAGATTTTGTGAGCTGCTTTCTGCTCCTCTCCCCAGGATGCTATCATTTTCCTGTAGCCACTTAAAGTAGTGCAGATATCTGTGTTGGTCCTGCCATGCTTAGAGAAAAGAGGGCCCTAACCCAGCAATTTAGATCATACTTGAGGTTTGCTAGCTCAGCTTTCTAACATTACCAGCAAAGAAGACAAAAAGATAACTCCTTCCTGATTGAGGAAAATGATAGTTCACTGAGGATGGGTAATACCCTCTTGAATGCAAAATTTTCATTTTTATTTGAGCTTTTTGGTTTTGTAGATAGGTTTAAAACTACTGGTGGAATTGTAACTGTCATTAGAGCGTTTTGTGTGTTATCTTTGACAGCATCAGACATGTCTGACTTCAGAAGATGTTGGCAGAGACAAGTATTACTAAATATTTCCCACATGCCTTACTGAACTCATTGCAAGTAGCTGTAATGACAGCAGGGATGAGAGCATGCACTGGCAAGTAGTTTTGTAGTGAAACACTAGAAGATGAGTATAAATTGCACTGTTGGATATTTCAGAAGTTAAATGGCACTTCTCGTGGAAACAAATCCTCAAATGGTCTAACAAAAAAAAAATCTAGGATTTCCACTAATGGAAAACTCTTAGCTAACCTTGAAAGCAGTTTTGGTGGTTCTTTCTGCAAGTACCACTGGGAAATAAAATGTGGAGTAAGCAGTTGGATCTGTCCTAAAAGTGCCTTTATGGTTATTAAAATAGACACTGCAAACGTCATGAATCAAAAAATTAATTAAGCAAATCAATTGTCCTAGGTTCACAGGGCTCTGGTCTGGAGGCTGTTCCAAAAAAAGGTAGAAGGAGACATGAAGTGATTTGCTGAGATTTCACCTCCATTATAAGGGTTTGGAAGAAATGTGATTCTTTTTTTCTATATAAAACTTTCTTATGAAAATTTTTGAATGTGCATAGAAGGAAATCTTTGATATTGTCTCGTAGAGACTCTTCCCTGGAGTTGGTGTGCTCTCTTTGATAGAAGACAAGTGGTTTTTCAAACTGGAAGAGGGTGTACTCTCCTGTTTGAAACCAAGAGGCCCAAACTGGTCTTTCAGAACAAACCATACATGGCATGTTCCCATCAAACAGGAGCAGTCACAAGCAAAGTCCAGCATGTTTAAGGAGAAGCAGCAAAGAGGTGAACAGATGGCATTCAGCAGAATGCCTAGTCACATTCTAAGGATTTGAAGCTGATAAGGGGGTGAGAAAGCTTTCAGGAGCTGGTGTGATATTGTCAGTGTTTGTAGGCAGAGTTTTGCTTTATGCACACTCTACTACTCATTGCTCTGTTAAGACTGTGTTAGGAAAGTGGTGATACAAATCCACACTTGTTACAGTGCTTGTTAAAATTCTGTTGCAAGGAATGGTGAATGCAAGGAACTTTTGCCTACTAGTGTAGAAGGCAAGGGAGTGGACTGGATGCCACACAGACTCGGGCTTTAATTCTGACTCTGCACAGTCTCAGGCAAATCACTTCTTGTCTCTTCCTTCCTCTTCAATAACTTGTCATTACAGGCTAGCAGCTCTTCTGGGTGAGAAATCACTCACTCTCCTGTTTCTTTATTTTTTAAATATTATAATGCATTGAACAATGTAACAATTATTTAAAAATACTACTAAAAGTGCCTCTGTGTTCACTTTTTATTTTCCCCAGGGAATGTATGTGTTTTTGCATGCAGTAAAGGGAACTCCTTTTGAAACACCTGATCAGGGCAAAGCTAGGCTACTAACACACTGGGAGCAACTGGATTATGGAGTACAGTTCACATCTTCAAGGAAGTTCTTCACAATCTCTCCTATAATTCTGTGAGTTCAAAACTGTGTTATGGATCAAGTGACACATAAAGCCGTGATTTCAAAAGCTGCAACATGATGGGCTGCAATTTACAGTCTGAAAGCATTTTCTGTCTTTTTTTCTTGTTTGTTTGTTTATTTCTACATCACAGCTGTAGGGAGTATTTATTTACAGGCTATGTAATCAACAGTCTTTCTTCTGCTTTTGACACTCCACATACTGAAGTCAAAGTTTGTAAACAGTTATTAATGGGACAGGTTTTAATGATTAGAAATGTGAGGAAAACTTCCTGTTAACTCTTGAATTTCTTTAAGAGATTGTGAAGTCATAAATATTGAAAATCTAAACTAATTTGTGACAGCATTTATTAACTGTTTTGCAACTTGTGTGCTTCAAATGTGTCATTCCTCAGTGGATGGGATCTAGTGTCAGTTTTGCTTTGTATATATTGTCTTCTATTTACACTATGCAAATAGCATAGGAATTCTATTCACCTGTCTCTGTTGACAAAAGTGTGGTTGTGTAACTAAGAAAAATCAGATATATATTTATTATCTGACTCTAAAAGTCTTTCTGTTTGTCCCTGAAGAAAATTTACATGTCCACTTATATGGCAGTGAGAGGGGAGGGAAGATCCTGCATGATGTTTAGAAGGTTGGCTCATAAAGGACAAGAAACTGCAAAAATATATATGAGCTCCTCAATGTGGGGAGAAGTGCTGGAAGAAAATAGTAAACTAAGAGTTGCTTTTTAGCACCTTGAGAGCTATGGGAAGAAGAGACTTAGACCATAATTTTGCTGTAGATACTCTAGAACCTCTGGTGAGATATTTAATACAGAAAGAGATGTTAACCAGTAAAATCTTACTAATCATTCAAGCACTTCTTTCAACTGTGTTTTGTATGTGTTTTAGACAAGGCTGCCATCAGCTAAGCTTGCTCCCTTCTCTCCTGCAGGTACTTCCTGACGAGTTTCTATACAAAGTATGATCCCACACACTTCATCCTCAACACAGCCTCTCTCCTGACCGTGCTTATCCCCAAGCTGCCACAGTTGCATGGGGTTCGACTCTTTGGCATCAATAAATACTGAGCAGAAGGTTCAACACTGGCTGCCCCTGACATGGCTACTGCTGCTCCCCAGGTGAAGGAAACGAGTAGTCTGCTATGCTGAGTATCTCATCATAGCCAGGGAGAGATGCTTTTACATCTGAGATACAATTCCTGCTTCCTGCAGCATTGTCTGGGATGAAAATCGACTTTGTAAGAAGATGCCTTCAGATACTTCAATGTGGATTGGAAACATGTAGAAGAAAGATTTCTATGAAGAACTGGGCAGGCCCAGTTCTAAAGCCTAATCCCCACTAAGACTGTATGTGTGGCTGATGCAAGTGGCTTGTAAGGAAGGTTCAAGTAACTGAAATGGAGAGCAGAGTTTCACAAATACCCATCATCCATAATGCAGGTGGTAACTTTACATATAAATCCAGAATCCTCGATGCCAAGGACTGGTGAGGCCACATTCTTAGATTAAGAGAAATTAGGTAGTTTCTGCTGTAATGGATTGTAAGTGGTTGTGCTTGTTTTTGCATTGTAAAAGTTTGTCCCACAGTAAGTACTGTGGCAGCGAGCGTAAATTGATGGTATCATTCCTGCCTTCTCTGTTCTTGTGATTTTTTTTTAATTTTTTTTTTTTTGTCACAATAACTGAACAAAGTCCTTAACTGCCAGCTCAGGGGAGTTCCACATCAACTCAAGAGCTCAGTTTATGTACGCTTTTACAAGTTGCCACTGTTGTGTTTATTTCATTTTGCTTACCAGGATACTGACTTTTCTATGTGTAAGTGAGACATCCTGAAAAATTGCAATTTCTAGGTGTGAATTTTTGACTGTTTTCTCTGCTATTCTGATGGGTTATTTTTCAGTAGCTGAGAGGCCAGTGAGGTGGTGGGGAAAGGCTTGCTGCTGTTGTAGGAGAAGGTGCTCTGTTACAGAGCAAGTGTCTGAACACGGAAGCTGTGTACGTCGTAAGCTAGAATAGAAGCTGAACTAGAAGTAGGTGAGTAGGCAAATCACATGGACTAACTATGCTTTTGCAGAAAAAGGTATAGATAACTTGCATGTCTTGGAAATGTGGAGGAATGCTGTGTTTTAGGGGTACTGTGTAGTACGGGGTAATCTTGTATATTATCAGCTCTGGAATTAGAGTGACGGAGGTACATCTACTGCTCTGAGCGCTTATTTCTCTGTCGTGGGAAAAGGATGAATTTTGAAGTCTGCTGTGTGTCTGCCAGCCCAAACCAGCTCAGATTTAATGGAAGACCTCATGTAAGACTTGATTTACATTTTGGTTGCAGTGGCAGCCAGTGAGCTGGAAAAAAAAAAAATTAAAAATATCAAAAGACAAGCCTACAGTGGTGTACTTACTTTTGTTCTACAGCAATTTTCCAGCTGTATACTTTATCGATAAAGATGTTAAAAAAGAGTAATGAGTTACGAATTTTCTATAGCAATTGGAAGTAATTATTTCTGTCTGTTGCTCACACAGAAAGCGGTAACTGGCTGATTTTTAAATAATGACCGTCACAAGGCTGTGCTGCCTTTGGGCAGGGACTGCAGGAGACGACCCGAACTTGGTGTCCCGAGGTCCGGGGTGCCTGGGGCTGGCTGGACAAAGCCTTGTGGAGGATTGCAGAGGAATCCCCTGAAGGGATCTTTAGCTGATCAGAGTGACCCCGAGAAAAGTTCAAAAGTCTCTTTTCCCCGCCCGGCGCTTGAAGAAGGAGTCAGGGCTCTTCATTTCTCAGTCTCAAGGTTGTTTATTGTATCTTATCTATAAAATTCTCTTTCTGCCCAGCCGAGATCTGCTCAGCAAGGCAGTCAGCGGCACTCTGACCACCCTCGGGGCGGTGTTATCTTTTTATACTACAAACTACGTATAACATATTTGCAATTACTTTCCAATACCTATCACCTATGTTAGCCAGTGAACTTCTATTCTAAACCAATCCCAAAGTGCCAGCATCACAGCAGAAGACTGAGACCAAGAAGAAGGAGAAGAAAGGCTAGACACGCCCAATTCCCTCCATCTTGTCCCCAAAACCCCCATTCAAAAAATCCCCAAATCTACCTTTTCACCCTGTGGTAATTTTACTATTATACTATTTAAACTTCTGTGACTTTCAGGTCCTCATACAAAGCAGGTAATTTTCTCCACGGGTCATAATCAAATCCACAAGTGTTCTGGGCTGCGTGCCAGGGTCTCCGAGCCCCCCGGCAGCTCTGGACGCGCAGAGGGACCTGCAGAGTTC